TGGATCTAACCAACGCCTTTATCCACTGTGCCATGTGTCCCTGAGGAATTCACACTCTTTGGGTCCTGTCACTGGATCTAACCAACGCCTTTATCCACTGTGCTATGTGTCCTTGAAGAACTCATACTCTTTGGGTCCTGTCACTGGATCTAACTAACGCCTTTATCCATTGTGCCATGTGTCCTTGAGGAACTCACACTATATGGGTCCTGTCACTGGATCTAACCAACGCCTTTATCCACTGTGCCATGTGTCCTTGAAGAACTCACACTCTTTGGGTCCTGTCACTGGATCTAACCAACGCCTTTATCCATTGTGCCATGTGTCCTTGAGGAACTCACACTATAATGGGTCCTGTCACTGAGGATCTAACCAACGCCTTTATCCACTGTGCCATGTGTCCCTGAGGAACTCACACTCTTTGGGTCCTGTCACTGGATCTAACCAACGCCTTTATCCACTTTGCCATGTGTCCTTGAAGAACTCACACTCTTTGGGTCCTGTCACTGGATCTAACCAACGCCTTTATCCACTGTGCCATGTGTCCTGAAGAACTCACACTCTTTGGGTCCTGTCACTTTATCCAGATCTAACCAACGCCTTTATCCACTGTGCCATGTGTCCCTGAGGAACTCACACTCTTGGGTCCTGTCACTGGATCTAACCAACGCCTTTATCCACTGTGCCATGTGTCCTTGAAGAACTCACACTCTTTGGGTCCTGTCACTGGATCTAACCAACGCCTTTATCCACTTTGCCATGTGTCCTTGAAGAACTCACACTCTTTGGGTCCTGTCACTGGATCTAACCAACGCCTTTATCCACTGTGCCATGTGTCCTTGAAGAACTCACACTCTTTGGGTCCTGTCACTAGATCTAACCAACGCCTTTATCCACTGTGCCATGTGTCCCTGAGGAACTCACACTCTTTGGGTCCTGTCACTGGATCTAACCAACGCCTTTATCCACTGTGCTATGTGTCCTTGAAGAACTCACACTCTTTGGGTCCTGTCACTGGATCTAACTAACGCCTTTATCCATTGTGCCATGTGTCCTTGAGGAACTCACACTATATGGGTCCTGTCACTGGATCTAACTAACGCCTTTATCCATTGTGCCATGTGTCCTTGAGGAACTCACACTATATGGGTCCTGTCACTAGATCTAACCAACGCCTTTATCCACTGTGCCATGTGTCCCTGAGGAACTCACACTCTTTGGGTCCTGTCACTGGATCTAACCAACGCCTTTATCCACTGTGCCACGTGTCCTTGAAGAACTCACATAACTTGGGTCCTGTCACTGGATCTAACTAACGCCTTTATCCACTGTGCCATGTGTCCCTAAGGAACTCACACTCTTTGGGTCCTGTCACTGGATCTAAACAACGCCTTTATCCACTGTGCCATGTGTCCTTGAGGAACTGACACTCTTTGGGTCCTGTCACTGAATCTAACCAACGCTTTTATCCACTGTGCCATGTGTCCTTGAGGAACTCACACTCTTTGGGTCTTGTCACCATCTAACCAACGCCTTTTATCCACTGTGCCATGTGTCCTTGAGGAACTCACACTCTTTGGTCTTGTCACTGAATCTAACCAACTTTTTTATCCACTGTGCCATGTGTCCTTGAGGAACTCACTTTACTCTTGAGGAACTTGACACTCTTTGGGTCTTGTCACTGAATCTAACCAACGCTTTTATCCACTGTGCCATGTGTCCTTGAGGAACTCACACTCTTTGGGTCTTGTCACTGAATCTAACCAACGCTTTTATCCACTGTGCCATGTGTCCTTGAGGAACTCACACTCTTTGAGTCTTGTCACTGAATCTAACCAACTTATCCACTGTGCCATGTGTCCTTGAGGAACCAACGCCTTTGGGTCTTGTCACTGAATCTCAACCAACGCCTTTATCCACTGTGCCATGTGTCCTTGAGGAACTCACTATATGGGTCCTGTCAGTGAATCTAACCAACGCCTTTATCCACTGTGCCATGTGTCCTTGAGGAACTCACACCATTTGGGTCTTGTCACTGAATCTAACCAACGCCTTTATCCACTGTGCCATGTGTCCTTGAGGAACTCACACTTTGGGTCTTGTCACTGAATCTAACCAACGCCTTTATCCACTGTGCCATGTGTCCTTGAGGAACTCACACTCTTTGGGTCTTGTCACTGAATCTAACCAACGCCTTTATCCACTGTGCCATGTGTCCTTGAGGAACTCACACTCTTTGGGTCTTGTCACTGAATCTAACCAACGCCTTTATCCACTGTGCCATGTGTCCTTGAAGAACCCACACTCTTTGGGTCCTGTCACTGGATCTAACCAACGCTTTTATACATTGTGCCATGTGTCCCTAAGGATATCTGCATCTGAATTCCTGGGACATAAACTTAAGATGTAAGTTCAATACTTGGGCAAGGAAGAGGAGAACTTGGTGAGGGGAATTAACAGGAGATAACTGATAACTGACATCCATTAGACATGGCAAGTGGTACTAGAATATTCTAACCCAACGTGCGAAATAAAGGGTTCAGTTCGACATTCCAACCACCTGAAGAAAGCCGGAACGTACATCGGCCGAAATGTTGTAATAGATATGGCGACAAAGATGAGGTCAATAGTGTGAATAATGTGAATAGTGTACATCAAATATCATCTCAGAAATATAGACAGCTAATGAAAGGATTATGGTAAAAATAAGCAGACGTCATGTTTGTAATATATATATATATATATATATATATATATATATATATATATATATATGCTAAAGGAAAATATAAATAATTATATTCATGTATAACTTCCACCAGCATGACTGGTGCTAACTCCAAAGAGTGTGACTCCTTGCACCTTCTTGGACACACGTTTTCGGGTGACGTTTCTGCTTGGATGGTTGGTTCACTGTGTCGATAGACCAGGTGGTATTATTTAGTTCGTTATACAATTTCTCATGAGATATAATAATTTTCTGTATTGGTTGGTTTCTTTTAGAGGCTTATCTGTTATTTAATGCCAAAATCTTAATATTTTGACCCCAGTTGTATGCCTTAAAATGCAGATAAATTGTATCTTTGGTCATTTTGATATATAATTGTATTGTTGGTAATTGTACTAGTCTGCAATCTTGGTTCTCGAACGTCTCTCATGTTGAACAAATCAGATGTCGACCAGAAAATTCGAGATGAAAAAGCCTCGGTTATCGAACAAGATTTCGCTTCTCGAACAACATTGCCGAACCGATTTAACCTGAACGGAATCATTTCTGAGTCGACCGCCGTATTGGATACATTTGTGTATAGTCACATGCTTTTCTTTTCCAATTGTATTATACTGTGACATTTTATTCTCTACATTGCTTCCTCTTGCAAAAATAGTTTCAGTTTACGAATAAATATTCGTAAACCGAAACTATTACGAACGACCTTCAGGAACGAATTAAATTCGTGAACCGAGGTCCCACTGTATAAATAGGTATTATTGGTGATTTTTTTTTATATACAAAATATATTGCTGGTATTTTTAATATAAAAATGTATGTTTAGACTTTCTTAGTGTTTCTTTTTTTTGTGAGGCTGGGGTTCACTATTTGCCAATAACTGGGACCCTAATAGATGCTACCACCCCAGGTGTGGGTGAGCCTGGGAACAACAGCTATTAATGGGTGCTTGCATGCTTCTCAAAATCTCTTAACTCCAGATTAGAGGCCTTTCTGTCTAATGTAGTCTTTTGCCATACCCAGGACTCCTCGATCTAGATCCGTTTTTATTAATTTCATTGTTTATGAAAATAAAATATAATACAGGTATAGCAATTCAAACACGTGTACGGACTTTTAGGCGAATAAGAAATATATATATATACATTAATTAAATCCACAAAATTCTACGAGCAATTATATTTTAACAAATACTGGACACATTTTAATTAACTTAATATTCAAAATGTATGTGAATATGAAGAGAATGGCGATTATTCATTCCAGTGAATTTAATATCGTCTTTCCTATGTGGCAATGATGGCCTGACAATCTCCTTACAGTTTCTCATTACCGACTGAGTAACCTTGCTAAAGAGTGTCGGTTTACGCATGTTCATTGAAAATATCGTTACACCCGTTGCCAAGATATTCAAAATAATTCGTAATATGTGTAAAGATTAAATCTTAGAAGACCAGAATTTCCTAACATAATTCTTGGTAATATAATATATATAAAAAAAGAAAGAAATTTGCACCAAATACCAAAATTTGTATTTCGCTAGTAACATGCAATTTCTTCAGAAAATGAATTCATCAAAGAGACTTAGCTGCGTTTACCGAAACGGCATGGCCCGTCTCTCATGGATAGCCATAAACAACAGCCACTATCAAGAAAGATCTGAAGGTATATTGCCTATAGCAGTTCTAATACGATTACAAGCTCACTGAGAGAATACGCAATGCGGATATTCCCCTTCCCTATATGAATTTGTGTGTGTGTGTGTGTGTGTGTGTGTGTGTGTGTGTGTGTGTGTGTGTGTGTGTGTGTGGAGAGAGAGAGAGAGAGAGGGAGAGAGAGAGAAGTGGGTTTTTCAGTCGTGAGTTTTCCTCCTGGGACTGCAGGCGCATCGCTCACGATTCAAAGCATGGTGTATAATAATTTCTAAGTAAGTGCATCTGTTCAGGATATGATTAAAATTCCTGGACGAAGAAACAGAAAAATAAAGTTTAAATAATAAAAAAATACAACGGATTCAAAAATCTCCATTCATATTCACAAAAATTTTGAATATTAATTAAAAATTTATCCAGTATCTGTTAAAATATAATTGTCCGTAGAATTTTCTAGATTCAATATATATATATATATATATATATGGCCATAAGCCTTAGAGGATTTTATATTCCTAAGCGGTCACCCATCTAGGTACAGACCAGGCTCGACATTGCTTAAGTTCGTTGATCGTATGGAAACCTGTGTTTCAACGTGATGTGGCCATAAGCCTTAGAGTATCTGGTATTCTTAAGCGGTCACCCATCTAGGTACAGACCAGGCTCAACATTGCTTAACTTCGTTGAACGTATGGAAACCTGTGTTTCAACGCGATGTGGCCATTAGCCTTAGAGGATCCGGTATTCCCAAGCGGTCACCCAACTAGGTACTGACCAGGCTCGACATTGCTTAACTTCGTTGAACGTATGGAAACCTGTGTTTCAACGCGATGTGGTCATTAGCCTTAGAGGATCTGGTATTCCCAAGCGGTCACCAAACTAGGTACAGACCAGGCTCGACATTGCTTAACTTCGTTGATCGTATGGAAACCTGTGTTTCAACGCGATGTGGCCATAAGCCTTAGAGGATCTGGTATTCCCAAGCGGTCACCCAACTAGGTACTGACCAGGCTCGACGTTGTTTACTTTTGGTTATCTTACGGGACAATAAATAGATATTTATGTTATTTGAGACATAAAATACTTTTAGATAGTAAGATTTGGGGTAGGGATAGATAATAATGGTGTAGTTTTATAAGTATTACTAATTAACCCATAACTGGGGGAGAATAGGTAGATTCATATCTTCTCCAAGCGTATTTGCGCGTTAGTGAACATAACAAACTCAACTGGAATTGGAACTCGGCACTCTAATTAATAATTTTGACTCGTTATCCATTACACTACCCTCACATGGAAGCTTACAGCACCTGGTATTCCCAAGCGATTATCCGTCTAGGCACTGGCCAGGTTCAATGTTGCTTAACTTCGGCGATCGTACAGGAACCGGTGTTCCTGTACGATCGTACGAACATGACATGGCAGTGTAGGCTAAACCGGCGGGCGAGCTAGACCTCACTCAGTCTACTGGTCAAAGACATATTACGAAAAGATTAATACAACGGCTTTCAAGACAGATATAGAGAGAAAATTGGTCAGATGCTCAGCTTCTCAAAGTTTCTAGGACCATAGAAGGTCATGGCTGATTATGAAATGTATAATTCAACTGTTGTTTTACTTTTTCTTTTTTTTTTTAATTAGAATAGTCAAGAGTTAACGGCACAGAAAAATGAAAATGGCGAAAATTTTCGGTTAGGATATAAAATCCGCGTAGAATAGGTATTAATTTCAGTCGAGTTTATACAGTTTTCGTACTGATGTTGTGAGTACTTCGAAAAGCTATATTACTTTTAAAAAACAAAGAAAAAAATGATGGCTGATGTTGATGGTTGAAGTGGTTTACATCTCTAAAAACATGTTTATGAGACGTAAGCATAGCCAAAAACAAATACTTTTAAAATATTCTTGAATGTCAAAGCAGTAAGAAAACGTAATTGCGACATCGATTTCTGTTTACAATAATACAACATTATTAATATAACGGACGGACATTTCGTGTGTTAATAATGATTTATTGTCGAGATAACAAAACCATTTCCTATTTGTGACGTTAAAACTGCTTACTTGCACTGAGAAAATTATTAGGGGGGTCTATCTAAGTTATTTTCGTTTTTAGACATCTTAAGATACACCTGTCTATATTTCTGAAATGAGATACTGCAGCTATTTACACGATTTATATTGTCCGGTCTGGTTTCACCATTTTTTGTCATATTCACGACGTTTCGGCCGTTATATGCTCAGGCCTTCTTCAGGAGATATACGTCGGAATTTTGAAACGAACCGTTTATGTCGTCCACGGGACACACGGCCAAGTGGATAAAAGTGTTGGTTGAAGTAATCCAGTGAGTTGTGAGTTCGATACCTGGCTCCAGCAGGGGTGAACAAAAAGATGGAGAGTTGGGTAACTAAAGGGAGATAACTGAAACTGGGATATCCAAAAAGGGCATAGAACGTGGAATTAGAAGAATATATACCAGTAGGCTAAATAATGGGTTCGTTTCGAAATTCCAATGAGTATCACCTGACGAAGGGCGGAGCCTACAACGGCTGAAACGTTGTGAAGATGAAAATAACGATGAGGACAATAATCTGAACAATGTAAATAGTATAAATCTTAAGATATATTTGGGTGAATCTTTATTCAGTAATTTTTTTATAATTCTTACTGTTATACACTGATCTGAAAACAAACTAGGTTATGTCTGAATTTCTGGATCGGAGTGTTAACATTTGCTGTAGAGTCTTCGCTCTAATGAGTCTATTATGGACTCTTCCACTTACTATAAAGTTAGTAGGAAAAGTAAGCCTCGGGGGGGAACAGTGATATATACCGTTCATTACTGTCAAACTCTCTGCCTTGAGCAGAGAGGAACCCGGACGGGCTTTGTCAAAGGTTTCGTCTAGACAGGCCCTGCCTTGAGCATTTTTGACCGAGACGGGCCGGATAAACCGGCCTTGTGCCACATTTGCCGTGGGGGCGTTAAACACAAACCGGTTTCGTGCCTTGAGCAGGTACAACAGTGCAAAGTTTGAATGAACCCGTTTAGGCGGGTTCAAAGGGAATATTTTTGGCCGAGCCTACGGGCTCGGAGAACCCACGGTAAACTCGGCCTTGTGCCACATACATCCCTCGTGGTGGTGGTGGTGGGGGGGCTGTTAAGTATTAACAGTGATATAGACTGTTCTTTCGAGGCTGTGATTGTTCGCAGCTCCTGTCGGACTCTCTGGCTTGGGCAGAGAGGGACCCGGACGAGACGGTGCCGAAGGGAGGTAGACAGACCCGAACCCGTTTATGCGGGTTCTATGGAGATTTTTTGGCCGAGCCTACGGGCTCAGATGACTGAACTATGGTTAACCAACACACACTTACAAGTCGTGTAATACTCTTCTGTTGTATTTACTGTTCAATACACTATTTATCTGCAACCACTTGCTTTGTTATTTCTTAACCAATTACTTACTCACAATATCATTACTTACACCTTCATCTAGTGTATAACCTACCGGGAAAAAGAAAGAAAGACAAATGACAGCAAGTCTTAAACAGCAGCTATAACCAAAAAAAAGAAAAGAAAGAAAAACAGTGAGTACAATAGAGAATGACAAGCAGCAACAGTATTAATCAGCAGTCAGGTTAGGTTTATGACTCCAAGTTCCTCACCGAGTATTGCCCTACGGGACAATAGCCTAATGAATTAAAGCGAATATAATTGTGCCATAATGATAGCGAATTTAATCACATGTCAGGACAGTGTGTGCTTAGGCTTAGTGAAAATAGCTGAACAGTGCTAAAAATAAAAACTAGACGAGATATCCCTAAATATCGAACGAGAAGAGTCTCACCCTTTAGATTAAATAAAGGGTTAAATTTCGGAATTCCCTGTAGGTTAAGCGGATCGACAAAAGCCGGTGGGGACAACTCTGGAACGTTGTAATAGCAACGAAGATAGAGACAATATTCTGACTGTAAATAGGATAAATATTAAATTAACGTCCTTCTGTACACACCTTTCGGCCAAGATTTCATGCACACATCTATATTATTATGATAAATTATTGTCTATCTAAACTGCATTCCACTATATATTTTACAAGCTTAAAAGTTGCACTCCCTGCAGACTTTTATGTTAGCACCTGTGTAGAACTAATTGGGCCTATAGCCTAAAACAAAATGGGCCTCTGGTCCAGCTTAGAAAACGACAATGATAGTTTTCAAGAAATAACTTCGAATATCTCAATTCACTCACTGGAACTTCAAAACCACACTTTAACTCTAATTCTATACTGCTTTGCATGGGATGATACAGATTTAAAAAAAAAAATAGTGTGTGGAACTGAAGCTGCGGGTTTAACATTCACTTGTCTTGATGACTGTGCGAGCAATGAGTGCTCAGTTGCGCAGTAATAGAGACAATTAAGAGCAGTAAAAAGGCCGTTAACAAGGTAATTTTCCGCGCAAATCTAATCAGCAGCGAATGCATAAAAACAACGCCAGTAATGGCTGCCGTGTCGTAACGCGAGTGAGTCTGAACACCTATTGTTGATAACACCAAAACGGTAGATTTTATCAAAATGTTTTTGTTATTTTCGAATTAAGCATGTACATTTATACCTAAATATAACTATTCGGGATTTTTTTTTTTATTAGATACTTAGCGCGCTATTTACATTTCAATTCCGGTCAAAAGAACCGATTTAGGCTGAGAATCCGATTTGAGTCGATATTGTAATTCAGGTTGAAAAATGAGTTCTTCAAATCGCAAACCCCCCCAAAAAAAACAAAACTTCTCACTTTAAATCTGATTCCTTGGCATTTTGAAGAAATAAAATTGATTTTCTCAATTCACTATCTTTTGACCGTAAGTCCTACGTGGCCGAGCGGCTAAGCACGTCAGATTCAATGACGGTTCACCATAGTGGTTGCTGCTACGGAGGTCATTTATTTTTCTGACAAGAATTTTCGAATATTAAGGCCGTAGATGTAGTTGGATAAAAAATACTGTTAAATTTAAAAATACAAATTCTACTTCAATATGAGTATCGAAAAAATATAACGTTTAAACAAAATAAATTAAAAAATAACAATATTTTCGATTTAATCTAATTCCAAAATATAAACTGTGATAGATAGATTTGGACAGACTGAGGTATGTAGATGTGGACAGGATAGATAGATAGATAGATAGATAGATAGATAGATAGATAGATAGATAGATATTTCTTAACCAATTACTAAGTTACATATTCAAATTAATAGATAGATAGATAGATAGATAGATAGATAGATAGATAGATAATAAAGAAACTGAGATAGATAGATAGATAGATAGATAGATAATGAAGGAAATTAGATAGATAGATAGATAGATAGATAGATAGATAGATAGATAGATAGATAGATATTTCTTAACCAATTACTTAGTTACATATTCAAATTAATAGATAGATAGATAATGAATGAACTTAGATAGATAGATAGATAGATAGATAGATAGATAGATAGATAGATAGATAGATAAAGAGATAGATAAAGATAGATAGATAGATAGATAGATAGATAGATAGATAGATAGATAGATAATGAAGAAACTGAGATAGATAGATAGATAGATAGATAGATAGATAGATAGATAGATAGATAGATAGATAATGAAGAAACAGAGATAGATAGATAGATAGATAGATAGATAGATAGATAGATAGATAGATAGATAGATAGATAGATAGATAGGTTGGCAATTGTATGCAAGATGGATGTGCGTAAAACCTAAATAACGAGCCAAATTAATGAACGTTCAAAGCCAATAATTCCGATTGAAGAAAGCAACTCATTGGCTTTTAACGTCCAAACACTTCATTCTAACTGACTCTTATCAGATTTCCTTCTCTTTCTAATGCTAACTCTTCAGTCGATAGGCTGAAACGATGTTTTCAATACGTAAATGTCGTCTGAAGCTGATTCTTCGGCAATGAGATTTGCCGACTGACGGCCGTAAACAATCGAAACGAAATGGAAATACGCAAATACCTATATTGATCAGATTTGATTGAATCACCGTCTTTGGATTAAAGGTAAGCAAGGATTTCCTCAGTGAGGCACTTCGGTAATCAAATAAACTGGAACTGACTGGTTATTATTAAATGACAGATATCTGATAGTGCTCAGTATGATATTGTTCTGTGTGTTTCTGGGGAAAATTATTAAGGAAAAGTTAATAAAATATCAGTGAAGCTGTCCGGATGGGAAAAGGTGAAATAATAAAAACAAAAATATCCGAAATGTTTTCTGAACTCTCCATATGAAATATTTCAGTTCATGAATTCTTTCGACTCTCTTTTTTTTTATTATTATTATTTTGTATACTGAGAGAGGAGAAAAGATTAATCGCGTAATT